GCACTCTGAGTGAATCTTCGGGTGGGCCTGGGAGCCCGCTCAACCAGAGTACGGGAACATACAACAACAGCGACCAGCAGGGGTTGTCCAATATGCCCTGGAAGTAACTTGCTGCTGTCACTGTTTGGGGTTTGGCCCCTAGTGATGGTGAAACAAATTGATCCGTGTTTTTCCTCTGGTGTTGTGGTGATGGTGGTGTTTAGGGACCAACTTTTCATGTTTCTAGCTCCTGTTTGTACTGTTCTGATGAATTGTCGAGAGATGTTGCAGGGAAATGTTTCATTGTCATGTATGTACATGAGCCAATCTGATTGCTTGTCATTTGATCGTGGCCATCGAGCTGCAGTAGTAGTCGTCTGTCTCAGTGCCACTGGTCCCCTCTCACCAGAGGAATGATCGGTGCGGTAGAGTTTGGACGATAGCTCAAAGTATCTCAGCCCGCTTAATATCAGCGAGGATTGCTGAAGATGGTCACATCAGGACCAACCGAGGACAGGTTGGTTAAGAGAGGGACGCAAAGGGTGAATCGAGAAGAGCAGAGGAGGTCTATCGGCAGCGATACGATGAAGCATCGACATGCCTACTCGATGTGGGCGTATCTGTGTCAGAAACAGATACGTGTTCGACATGTGTTTATTTTTTATTAATTTAATTTTTTTTATCCGTGTTGGACCTGTGTCATTTCTGATCGATCGGTTGCTCACGTGTGGTGTTGAGTTGCGTGGCTGGCAGCCTCCACCTCAGCATCATCGTAGCTTCACTCCACTTCTCAAAGTTCCTCCACCACCACTATCATCTCCACTGCCTTCCCTTCGTTGACCAACATCGTCTCTATCCGCTTGGGCGTCAACAAACATCGTCTCTATCCGCTTGGGCGCCTACATCGACGATGGTTGTAGTATCATCGTTGGTGTCTCCAAGTGCGACGGTATCGTCACCCACCTCGTGTGGTTGAACCCTCAACGTTCCTCCACAGTGTTGACAACACGAAGGGCGTCCTCGTCGCGTCATAGCATGGGATGAGCTTCAGCTTTAGGGCATCCTGCAGCGTCGTATCCCCGATTGAGCAAACACTCATCAGAGCAACCCCCTCAACTGGTAGGAGGCCTCCTAGGATTCCCTTTCGTTGGGTGGCCGAAGAGGCGAGGCGACAACCATGCCTGGCGAGCAAGTGTAGGGCTTCAACAACGGAGAATAGGGATCGATTGTCATGGCCCATGTAAAGAGAGGGCTAATTACATATTATTCTCATAATTACTTATCTTTAGTATCTTGATCTTTACACTTTAAAAAGTTATATTGATATTTTTATAATTACAAAAATAAAATATCTAAGTTCATTTATCCTGACATCGTCAGTTTTACTAATGAAAACAATGAGCAAAAAGATAATTTTAATATTTCAATAAATGGTGATGGACGACGATACCAAAAGCTGAGGATGGATGTTGTGGATGAAGATAGTGGCAATGAGAGATGAGGGTTACTTTATATTTTCGTCGACATGAATGCAATTATCGAGTGATCCTCTCGACACTCGGTAATTATCTCGACGTTGATGCAAATACAAAGCGACCCCCACCTCTTGTCGTCGCTCTCCTCATCCCAACACTCACCTGCCGCCTCTAGTATCGACATCGTCCGTCACCATCAATTGAAATATTAAAATTATCTTTTTATCATTTATTTTTATATTTTTATTGATAAAATGAATGACGTTATGACAAATGGACTTAAATACCTTACTTTCATAATTATAAAAATATTAATATAATTTTTTAACATATAAAAATATTAAAATATTAAAAAAATTAATTATAGGAGATAATCTATTATAATTAGATCATAAAGAGGACGGTGAAAAAGATTCCATATGTTTAGGTTACATATGTTTACTTAATATTATAACTTATACTCAATAAATTATAGTATAAATATTATAAAAATTATATATATATATTTAATTTAATATTATATATTATATTAAAAAATATATGTGCCCTCGTGTTTATATCCATTCTTTTTATCACGTTTGAAAATTTGTTTGCTTGCTTGAGCTGTCGGGAGAGACGAAGACCGCCTAGCTTTGGAACTTGAGGTGTGCATACCGGTAGAATCAATTTAGCAAGCGTATCATTATTCGTATTGATAAGTATTTTTAGGAGTTCTAATTATATTTAAATCAGTTATAAAATTTTAATTAAATTAAAACTTCTTAGTGAATTAGGATTTATTCTTATAAATATACATGGAGTGTCTGAGTTTCGATGAAAAGACGAAGCAAGACATTATGAGTGCTCGATCTTTAGGTTTTTTAAAAAGGATTAAGAGAGTTTTTCAAGTTTGTATGAGAAGTGAATAACTCAAGTTATACTTGAGTGAGAATAACTTAAACATTTTATAATTGAATAATTTGATTTTCTTAGATGAGATTTACAAATCACATTAATCTTGTGTTGATTTTCTGAGATGTTCATTGTTAATCTTTAGATTTTTTAATTTTAAAATTTTCCTCTCCCTCTCTAATAATTTGAATGTTTATAAATTGCATAATACATGTATGATTTCTGATTTATTGATAGATATATGCTCGAATGTGTATAAATTGAATTATCTATTTGAAAATATTTTGACTAGTGCTATTTGTCAGCTTAATGTATCCCTTGTGTCATTAATAGTTTTTTTTAAATTTTGGAAGACGATGTGAAGACAGTGATTTCTACTAAATCTGTCTATAAGTATTTGCATCAATAGGTGGATATATCTGCTGGAAATGGGGATGGATGGTGTTGTTTGTAGAGGCTGTTAGTATTGTCTAGAATTAAGATTTTTTGGAAGAGTGCTTCTGCATCATCATCATCTCTCTATGTCTGGTAGACTTGCTCGCCTAGGGGTGTGCAATGCTATTTTGTGTTCTTTTCGTGAGTTGGAACTTGATCTATCTCTCATTTATTTTCATTTGTAATTTTTTTGTTGATTCGTGGAGAATGGTCTAACAAAAACTTGCGTTGAGATTTTTCTTCTTTACTGATTGGCCGACGTGGGATTGGTACAACGAGCGGATGTTATCGGGTGATAATACTTGATTGATGTTAATGTCTGTTGTTGTCTTGGTGCCATTGATCTGGTTCTATCCCGAAAGCATGTAACCTTCCAAGTAGCCCAAGTGGATCAAGTGAGTGCGATTCAAGCTTGAGGCTACGGTGACAGGTAGACTCCTGAGGCTTTGCTGGCCCATAGTGATCGACTTGCGATCCTTCCGAAGTGCAGTTTCTCCATTGAACGAGGCTTATAGTCGTCCTAAGGTGCACCTTGGCTTTATCTAGTGATGCTTCACGTCACCCCGAGGTGCACCTTAGACAATAGAGAAAGTGAAAATGGTTTAGTAGAGCTCAAAAGAGTTTAGGTTGAGTCTGCTTATCTCATCTAATTTCAGAGGCTAGCTCTTATACATGATTTATCGTTAGAGGGTGGTCGATTGCTCGTCCCCCCTTAAGCTTCTCGTATCGTCAATGATTCATTTATGTCGATTGTTAGTGAATATATCTTATTATCGATTACGTTATGGAAGGATGATTAGAGGCACATCGTCTGTCAGCGCAAGTGCCTGAAACGAACAAGGGATGACAATCGACGTCAGGTGCCCGTGGGGCCACGTCGTCAAAAATTAATAACCCCTGCGATTAAGCATATGACCCCTTTGGAAATTAAGGCTAAGGGGGATGTATTGCTGGCGACAGATGGCATGATCGAGGGGAAGGTGTGAGGATGAGTCTGGTCATCATGTATCAATAATCGACTTGTGTGACTTCTTCGAGGATCACGTTGGGCGGTGAGTATCGATTCCAAGTCATGGCTCAAGACTCAGAAGATTCAGCAGAACAATGATTGTGTCATTGCTTTCCCTATAAAGCCTCATTGGTCTTTTTCCGGTGGTCGAGACAGGCAAGGCTGGCAGATTATTTGCATGAGTTGTTTTAGGTGGCTTCTTCGACCTAAGGGAGGAAATGAGTTGGCAACATTGTTATTTTCTCTATCAATCTCAATTAGTTAATATATACTCTTAGTTAAGACAACTTCTTTTCTTGAAAAAAGAATAAACGAGTACCACTTTATTTGAAATAAATATCCAATTTTATAGGAATATATATATATATATTATGGTGTAGCACAGATCAATTTATAAATCTAAACGATAGTCAAGTCGATTAATTCTTTCAACAAATATTCGACATCTATGCATTGATAAATTATTAAAGCTATCTCAAACCTTTTTCCTTGCATGATAAGACATATTTTGGTCCCGAGATGAATCATCATCGACGTCACACGCCACGTCCCAACTAGTGTCAGAATTTGGCGTCGCACATCATCAGAACCCCGTGACACACGTCAAGCTAGGTTCCGTATCGAGATACTATGCGACAAGACTATCCCAAGGGCTCGGGGCGGTGTCGCTCAAGCATCCCCCAAGATGCTAGCTTGTCACAAAAGCTGTCCCATCCCACAAAGGTCAGCGATCACATCAAATCGAGGTACAACCAATCGCACAATAGTATATAAACCCTTGACCGATGCCCCAAAGGGAGAAAAACTCGATATAAAAAATACTCCACTGATTTGCTCATCGAATGGGCCAAAGTCGGAAAATACCCGACGAAGGCCATTTTGCAAGAAGGCAGACACCCCCGAGCGGCGAGCGTCTCGACCCAAGAGATACTTTCCATCGCACAAGGGAGAGCAGTGAGCCAGAGCCCGAATCTCGACCAACGCCGACCAACATTTGATGTCGACTCACGGACCAACTTTCCCGATGGTGCAGCCACCTCATCATCCTACTCACTCCATAAAAAACTTTCGATGTCGACTCACGGACCTCTCATCAGCTATAGTACTTTTGTTCACAAACGGTGTAAAATCTTTTGATTATACTTAAAAACAGATATTGTCAATCCTATGCATCGGTAAATATTTGAAACGTGTGCGTGATTCATTCCAAAGCATAGCCCACCACACGGCTTACAAAGTAAATGCCCCCTTCAGTAATCTATCAGATTGATCGACTCATCCATCCATCCATGGCGGAGCGAGGCAACGAGAACCTTTCCTCCGCTTCTCGTCTCCTACTCCTCGTTCTCTTCTTTCTCTCCGCGGCGGAGGCGGAAGGAGCTGCCTTTACGGCTGCCGAGGCCGACGCAGCGATCTCCCGCTTCCAGGAGTACCTCCGCATCGACACCGCCCACCCGTCCCCGGATTACGCCGCCGCAGCAGCCTTCCTTCGCTCTCAAGCCGATTCCCTCTCCCTCAAGCACGAAACCCTAGAGTTCGTCGCCGGCAAGCCCCTCCTCCTCCTCAAGTGGCCCGGACGCCGCCCTTCCCTCCCCTCCCTGCTCCTCAACTCTCACACTGACGTCGTCCCCGCCGAGCCCCACAAGTGGGTCCACCCGCCCTTCTCCGCCGCCCTCGGGTCCGAGGGCAACATCTACGCCCGCGGTTCGCAGGACATGAAGTGCGTCGGGATCCAATACCTCGAGGCCATCCGCCGCCTCAAGGCCGCCCGCTTTGTGCCCGATCGGACCATCTACATCTCTTTCGTGCCCGACGAGGAGATCGGTGGGACGGACGGCGTGGGGGCGTTGGTGGCTTCGGACACGTTTAAGCAAATGAGGGTGGGAGTGGTGCTTGACGAGGGGCTGGCTTCGCCCCGGCCGGAGTATAGGGTTTTCTATGGCGAGAGATGCCCGTGGTGGCTCGTGATCCGAGCCCAAGGTGCGCCAGGGCACGGAGCGAAGCTTTACGATGGGAGCGCAATGGAGAATGTGATGAAGAGTGTGGAGGCGGTGAGGAGGTTCAGGGCGGCGCAGTTTGATTTGGTGAAGACAGGGACGAAGGTGGAGGGGGAGGTGGTGTCAGTAAATCTGGTGTACCTCAAGGCTGGAATCCCATCGCCCACTGTAAGTACCGTCAACTCTGCTTATTTCGATCAATTTCACTTTTTGAACTACCATCTTTCACTTGCCTCGAGTTCTGATGCCTCAGGTTTTTGTTCTCCGCAGTAAGTAGGTCATTTTCTAATCTTCTTTTAATGAAGCAAATTGATATTAGTTAAAATGGGTAGCTTATATTTAAATTCAAAACATACAAGTAGATGGGAAGGCCATTCCCCTTTCTAGATTCGACTGAACCTACTAGCTCTAGCAAATTGAGGAAGCTATTTAGCTTACCCTCTCTAAATATATGAGAAATTTTATAGTCTTCAAAAATGGATTAACAAAAAACAAACGTCTTTAATAACATTCAAATACCAAATCACTGAGAAATTTTATAGCCCAAGGTGGTCTGGTTTCCTTTGTCAACAGCTACCGAATCACTGAGTCAGTCTTAATATGTATTCGATGAATGCCTTTCTACAAAGCTGCCTTCCATCCATCTCTAAGCTAAGCAGCTTCAGAGCGTAGGATTGATCTGTTTCCCAAGTATCTACACCTAGAAAGTACACAATTACCAGTATCATCTCTAATAACTAAACCTATACCCCCATCCATATTCTTCCATGAGGTGTTTCCATTGAGCTTATACTGACCAAGTGAAGGTTTCTTCCAGCATATTCTTATATGACACATCTCATTACAGCCCTCATACCGGTACTTATTTACCACATTGGATAAGGAAGCAATTCTTTTAGTCCATATCCTCAGCTTATTGCAAGAGTTGTTGTTGAGACTATCATGAGCGATGAGGGACCAAAGGATCAGCATGTTAGTTTAACCACCATCAATTCCTTTCAAAAGCCAAGCATCATCGTAGCTCGTAAGAAAGACAAATTTAATGTCTAATTTCTGTTTGAAAAACTGCCAGATCATGGTGGAAAAAGAACACAGGAAGAAGGGATGAGGAATAACTTCATTCTCCACATGACACAATTGAGACAAATTCCCATTTCCAATCCCCAAAGTAGCTAACCTATCCAAAGTGGAGAGGCAATTGTGCAACAATTATTTAACCTGAGGACACTAATTTGACTGGCTTCTCTACTCAGGCTATGAACAAAAATATAAGCAAATTTTCCCAAACCTAAACTTTTGGAATCAGGTTTCCAAAACTAGAAATCCTTCTGAGGCTCAAGCGATATGTAAATAGAAATAGTCTTACCCAAAATATGACCAAAAGTTTTGAAGAATTTTATCCCCGTTCGACTGTCTGTTGCAAAGCAAATCAACCACAGAAGACAAATTAAGCAAATCATTCACCCTATAGAAAGTAGGTTTAGCAACTAAGGGCACATAAGAATCCAGCTACCATGAAACCTGCCCCTAGAATTACCATGTGAACAAACTTGGAAAACCCAGAACACAAATCTTCCATGACTTAAGACAACCTCCAGCTCCAGTTAGCACATTTATGAAGTTATTTAGGCTTTCAGTCATGCTGTAAGAGTTCACTTTCATACTTTCCATCTCACTGTCGTGTTAGATGGAATCTGAAGATTCTGTAGGGCAACTGGTGGAGGAATCAGCTAGCCTCTCTCTCCTCCTCTTTTTCATTTTCCTTTTGTTTTCCGCTTCATCAATCATTGGAAAAATTTTCATGTAGAAATCTTACATGCTTCTCCCTTGTATCTTTGTTCATTATTGCGGAAAAAAATCCTCCTAATCACACTCCTTAACTTTCGTCTATATTTGTGGTACTCGAATCACATCCAGGGCCTGCAATCATTATATCTCACCCATTTGTTTCCTCCTCCTGGTGGCATCAACCATCTTTATCTTAATTAAATGCTAACTCAAGCCTTACTGCTTGAACTCGAAATCACTATTTTGCACATGCTTCTTCTATGATGTCAACAATTGTCTCTAACAAGACTGTAATGACATTTTCAAGTTGACTTGTTCTTCCACTTCTTTTTATTTCTAACACTGGTACATGCATATTAACACATGATTAATTGAGTCATTTAGTATGTAAAAAGAAGAAAGGTTTGTGTCTGTATAATCCAGCCATCTATTTGTTGAACATAAACTGTCTATTGGAGAGTGATGATGATGGACAGTTCTCCAGCTTATTCCATAAAGCGTAGAAGAGGTTTTGTTGATGATATTTAGCTTTATCCATGCATCAGTTTGCTCTCGTTGTTTGCCATCTTAAGTTGCTCTTACTCATCATCTGAAGTAATCCATAGTTTGTCCTTTTGTGTGCTGGAATTTTAATCTCTCCATGTTACACCTCTACCAGAAACTAAACCTAAATCTCTGATCAAATTTCTTCAAATATGGGAATAAAGAAGTGTTATTTTTTGTATTTTAGTTGGCTGCTTTGAGGCTAATTTATTTGAGAGTAGTAAACTCAGATAGTCTAAAATAATACTATTAAGAATGAGCTTTGAAGACATATCAGCAAGATCAAGATAAGCCTTTGTTGTTCAAATAAAGTCTGACTGAATTACCATTATGTTTTCTGACATTATTTCCTTACTAAAACAAGATAAATCCCTATTTTGCATTATGGGTTCTAGTTAATTATGTCAACGATAAAGTAACTCAAATTAAGTTAAATATGTTAGGAATCATTAATCTGATTTACTTTATATTTTAAGTGATTTAGACCATTGTCGTGAGGTTTCTCACTGATTTTTTTATTTTAGTAACAAAGTCATTTTCTCTTAAACATTTTTATACATTTGATTGTTAAAAATGATATCATCAAGTTTAACAACTTAACTGGCATTTATTGGATCAAAATTCTCATATATGCATACAAGATGCTCTAATTTCTTCAGTTTCATTGGAACGTTCTGGATGTCATTTCTTTCTTGGTGAATATATAATTCATGTTCTTTTATGAATTATGGATTCCACTTATGAATGTATCTCAATGGCTTTCTATCAGGGTTTTGTCATGAATCTTCAGCCATCTGAAGCAGAGGTTGGTCTTGACGTCCGAGTCCCTCCTAACACTGATCCCAAAGCATTGGAGAAACGAATTGCTGAGGAATGGGCACCATCATCACGCAACATGACATATGAGGTATGTGCTAAATAAGTTTTTCATCAACTTGTTCAAGAAATATCGAACAATGTCTTTTGAATGCATAACTTTGTTAAGGACTGGTTCCAAATTTATGGAACCGATTTATTTGTCATCTGAATGTTTCCCATCAATGGTCTCACGGTGCGCTCTGGTCATTGTAGTCTGGAAGTCGATGTACGTTTGTCTGCTTCTTTTTCTTTGTATATGAAGATTCCAGTTTAGCTTCTTCTTTTTTTCTTCTCATTTTACATGATCTTAATAGGAACAGGAACATCTGTGTTCTTTCAACTGAATCCATTAGGCTTTTTGATCTTTTTGTGCCTATACAATTGGTCTAAAGGTATATTTGTATTGAGCAGTTTAAGCAGAAGGTGTCTGTGTATGACATGTTTGGAAAGCCAGCCATCACTGCTGCAGATAGATCTAACTCTTGGTGGATACTGTTCGAAGAAGCTGTGAAGGAAGCCAATGGTAAACTTAGCAAGCCAGAAATTTTCCCAGCCTCAACTGATGCGCGCTTTTTTCGAGAACTGGGAATACCAGCATTTGGTTTTTCACCGATGGCAAACACTCCTATATTACTCCATGACCATAATGAGGTTTGTCTTTAGCACAAGTTCCTTCCTCAAAAATATATAAATGACAATAATAGATAAGAATACTATCTTGATATGCTGAGAACAATTGTGAAAATTGTGAAAGAAGTAGCTTTCCAAGTCAGCAAGATTTAGATTAACAAAAGTTCAAAGCCAATAAAATGCTTAGAAAGCAAATGTTTTCATGAGGTGGACTAATTTTCCTTCACACAATTATTTGAGAAAATTGTTTATATTTTCACAGAGTTGGTACTTGTACATAGTTCCACAATTATACATGTACTAGAAGACGTATGGACTTTCATAGTATAGGTTATTATGCATGGTTTGATGCTTCTGAATTTTCAATTCCTCTTTGTGGACCGGTAAACGACATTTCAACAAATGGATATTTTTCTGGACATGTAGACGTTCATGATTTAGTGCGTCATAATATCATGTCTGGTGCTCACAAGTGTAGATAATATTATAAAACTGGAACTAAAGGCATACAACTTGTTTTTTTCTTTTTGGAACTTGTTCCCATCGATGGAAAGACTACATAAGATACTGGACTAAATCATTAAGGTTTTAAATTTTTTGATGACATAAAGAACATGAGACATGCTCTATCCTACTAGAAACTTGCACAACTGAAAGGCAAACCAAATGGTCTTTTTGCTCCTTTATCGGTAGTTTTATCATGATAACCATTTTTTATCTATTGCTTTGTAACATATTTTTTCTGAAAACTAGGAACACTTGAAGAAGCTTGCTATTTTGAAACTTTTCTCACTGTTCTAAGGGTGTTGCAACAATTGCACTGTGCTTCCTTATTGGATGTGTAACATTTTTCCGCTTTACAACTGCTGCAGTTCTTAAACAAAGAGGAGTATTTGAAAGGGGTTACGATATACGAGTCTATCATCAAAGCATTTGCTTCTTACAAGGATGAGGTTGAAGAATCCAAAGCAGAGTTGTAAGTAGTGTAATGCATTTTACCCCTCCCTCCCATTAATAAGATTTGCGAAGAGCAGCAAACAAGATGCTGAAAGACGGCAACGAGGAATTCTGTTACATCCAATCACGAAATGGAACTGGATACCTATGTGTTGTGAAGCCTCTATGAGGTGATTTTAAGAATATCATGCGAAGCATTTTATTCAAAGACTCGCTTTGATGTGCTCCGAAAATGGTACTATATTGTATTTTTCTGTATCAGTCTTTTTCTGTAACCTATGCGTGTGCTGAAGCCATCAAAACAGAACTAGCTAGCTTCAATATTTTTTGTTTTTGTTTTTGTTTTGCATAGTCGGCACAACTAAAATTTCCTAACATTCTTGGTTTTTTCAATATTTTTTTGTTTTATTAGATTAAATTTTGTTTATCGATCATAAATTAGAGATTCTCGAGAAAAAGAAACATAAAGCCAACAATTACATAAATATAATTTACAAAGATATAAAATAACTTACGACGCATATTGCCAAAGATGTTTTTCTATTTGACAAACGAGTAACGTGTGCCAAAGAAAGACTATGATGTAAGCATCGTAGTTGATCCGTCGTCATATTCTTTAATGTATCAATCAATGTATTAATTATCATGAAAAAAGAAAATGTTAGCAAAGCATGTTATGCACATATGTTTTGACAAGTGTCCATAGTGTCATTGTCTTATTTGATGTGACTCGATGCTTCTTAATAATCTTGAATGACTTACGATATAGGAAAAATTCATTCTAGAAGTTTAGCGCCATTAGAAATCAATATTTTGTTCAGGGGTACAAATAACTTCAAATCTACATGGTGTTATGAACGACGGAGATTAGCTATTATGCACACATTATTAGATATGAATAGGAAAACCAAAAAGAAAAGGACAATAGAAAGTAGTAATGAAGAAGTACTTATATGCTTAGCATATAAGAATTTTTGATCGATGCCCCCATGGCAATGTTTGACATTTCAAAGCCAACATTAATTGGTTGCGTCAGCTGCAGCGGCAGCCTCCTCGGTCTTCTCCGAGTCTCTGTCAGGGGAGGAGTCTGCCTCGTGGTTTTACAACGTATCTGTCACCACCGCGAGACTGATTCTTCTTCCTCCCGGAGGACTTATGATCGCCCGTCTTCTTGGTCTCGCTGCCGCCGGTTCTCTCGTGGATGGAGAACGAACGTATAATTATAAAATACTTTTAAATATTTTGTAAATAATATGTATTGACGTGTATTTTGTTTGATAAAATTATATCTCAAAAGTTCTTTTAAATATTAATTTAAAAGTAAATATATATTTTCTTTATTTAAATTATTAAGTAAATAAATATAATCTTATTAAAAAAATTTCATATGGCCCAAATATAAATAGTAAATTAATATTTTATAATTTTTTAAGGGATTGTCGATAGTGAAAAACTTGGAAATGGACTGTTTCAGAGGGAATGGGAGACTTTGACTGAGGGCGTCTACATCAGCTCCCCACGCCAGTCTTTCGAGGAAGCCTACTTCTTCCCCATCTTCCTTCGATCATGTCAACTGGGATAAATGGTGAGTAGTCTTTCGAGGAAGCCTACTTCTTCCCCGTCTTCCTTCGATCATGTCAACTGGGATTAATGGTGTGTTATAAAAGCACTCTTTCTGAAGGTCATACTGCGGGAGGGGGGGAAGGATGGGCCTCAAGATTCTTACAGCGCTCGACCATGCAAGAACACAATACTACCACTTCAAAGCCATCATCATCGCCGGCATGGGCCTCTTCACCGACTCCTACGACCTCTTCTGCATCACGCCTGTCATGAAGCTGATAGGGCGGATTTACTACGATCCTCAGGGAGGGACGCCTGGCGTGACGCCACCCGCGGTGGTCTCCGCCATCGTGGCTATCGCGCTGGTCGGCACAGTCATCGGCCAGCTCATCTTCGGCATGCTTGGGGATCGCGTGGGCCGTCGGCGCGTCTACGGGTTCTCCCTCCTCCTCATGATCGCCAGCTCGTTCGGTTGCGGTTTCTCCATCTGCCGCACCCGCAATTGCGTGCTGACTAGCTTGTGCTTCTTCCGGTTTATGCTTGGGATCGGCATCGGCGGCGACTACCCACTCTCGGCGACCATCATGTCTGAATTCGCTAACAAAAGAACGAGGGGTTCGTTCATCGCCGCGGTGTTCTCGATGCAAGGGTTCGGGATACTGGCCAGCTCAGGGGTCACCATGGCGATCGCTGCAGCGTTCAAAAGGGCAACCAAGGCATCGAGCATCGGCCCGCTGCACACGCCAGAGGCAGCGGACTTGGCGTGGCGCATCATACTGATGATCGGTGCCATTCCGGCGGCTTTGACGTTCTACTGGAGAATAAACATGCCGGAGACCGCCAGGTATGAACGTGGCTACTTTTTGTTCATCACTATGGCCGTCGGTCATGCGGGCTCCAGCTCTTGAACAGCCTCTCTTTGCAACTGTTCCTTTCCTTGTGGTGGTAATTAACTAGGAGACAAACAATCGACAAAACCTAGTTTATGCCATATGCAAGCTGCTGATGCTCACAAAGCTGGTTTTAACATCCCTTCGATCATATCTTTCTATCTTTATACATCTATCTGGCTCTCCATAATGCATTTCAGGCATAGCCAAGAACCACTGGGTTGTACTGGAGATAGTGAGGAGATCACAGATGAATCTTTGGATTACGTTAAATTCAGATTACAGAAACAAGGAATAGTTTATTTCACGTGCTCTCTGTTCGATTAATTATTTGCAGCGGAGTTACAGGCTTGCTTATATAATGAATGCGAGGGACACGAGATTCTGTGTAGCTTTAGGCAAACTCCATTAGCCGTCCTTTCCTCCGCCACCACTCCAGTTGCTTTATCCAGGGCCACAAGTTACCCCGATTGACATAGTTTATTGAGATATTTAGCTTGTAGGTGCCCTTGTGTGTGTTTCTGTGTGTGTGTATATATATATATATATATATATATATATATATATATATATGTAAAAGAGACAGGGAAAATGACAAGACATACTGCGTTAATTAGTTATTTTGGTATCAGTACAGTGATTTTGAAGCTTGTGCAGATATACAGCACTGGTGGAGCAGGATGTGATCAAAGCGACAAATGACATGGGGAAGGTGTTGGTGGACTTCGATATGGAAACTTCAGAAGTTTCAGGCGGACCCCGTCGACCAGCCCCAACGTACGGTCTCTTCTCAAAGCAATTCATGGGACGGCATGGCCGGAACCTGTTTGCGTGCGCCATGGCGTGGTTCTTGGTTGACATCCCCTACTACAGCAGCACTCTTTTCCAGTCGCAAATCTACCAGCCGTGGTTCCCTCCGTCTGACCATGTAAATGCTTACGAGGAGGTCTACAACGTCGCAAAATTCCAAGCAATCATCGCCGTGGCCTCTACCATCCCTGGCTACTTCGCCACCGTCTACTTCATCGAACGTACCGGCAGGCGAAAGATTCAAATGATGGGTTTCTTCTTCATGGCAATCTTCCTGTTCGCGCTAGCAGGTCCCTACGACAAGTATTGGCACGACCACACCAAAGGGTGGTTCATCGTTCTTTATGGCTTGACCTTCTTCTTCTCCAACTTCGGCCCCAACACCACGACCTTTATCGTGCCCGCCGAGCTGTTTCCTGCTCGCTTCCGGGCCACCTGCCATGGGATATCCGGCGCGTCGGGAAAAGTTGGTGCCATAATCGGAGCTGTTGGATTCCTCTGGGCCTCTCAACAGAGGAACAAGAAACAAGTAAGTCCAGGATGGAAGCCGGGGATCGGAATGACGTATGCATTGACTATCCTGGGTGGTGTGTGTCTCATTGGAATGCTTCACACCTATCTCTTTACGCCTGAAACTAAGATGAGGTCCTTGGAGGAGAATGAGTCCGGGGAAAGTCAACATGGTCCCGAGGACCTAGAGAATATCAACCACAGTGTATTCACATCCAGCGCTCCGAGTGTTCATCCTCTCGGTGGACGTTCTCCTCTGCAATCACCTTTGTAGGTCTTACATCACCATCTGATAGTACGTTCAACATAAGTATTGGGAGGCAGATGGAACGAGCTTGTTGTATGATTTGGTTTGGTCTATAATTGCTGGCTGTGTGCATTGCTCTCACTCCTCATGATTATAACAATTCATCCAATTTGATGGAACTATATGCTCTGGAAAGATCATCTAGTTCAGCTCATAGAGCATCGATCCAGCGTCACAGTGTCTACCCAAACTAAGGAGGATCGTCTTGGTAACAGAGTGATCACAGATTTGGCATAAAATGTCTACCTAAACTAAGAAGTTGCATCGAACGGCACTGTATTCGAAATCGCAGGTTAAATTGTAACTCGAGAGCCACGACGTTGCCATCCCTTTCAGCCAATCTCATCCTTCCTATGACTTCTCACATCTCGATCACCCTACAACATTTACAATCATATTGCACTTTCACCCGTGGGCATATATAAATTAAAACTAGGAAGAATCAGCATCATTTTTCACTATCCATGCATTTATGCAGAACGTACGGTGTTAAAGAGTAATAGTATATTCTTATTTTACCTTTTAAATAAGTTAATTAGATATAATCTTAGAGACAAAAGTCTCTTCATTTAAATTATTATTTTATACCTATAAGTAGATGATATCTATATGCGTAGATTTATACAAGTCCATCCACTCCTGTGGACCCTGATGTAACCAGCTAGGCAAGGACTTTGACTTTTCATGGGACAAGAAGACTTTGACTTTTCATGGGACAGAAGCTTCAAACCACACATCTCGTCTGTAGCAGACTCCCAATCAGCCCACGGTTTTAGAAAAACAGCAGCAGATGTACTCCTCCTCACCTGTCCTTACATTGGGAATGCCTGTCCCGTCAGAGAGACTTCACGAGTGTATCATCGACCTCAAGTGCCACCAAAGTCCATCCGTGTCTAGTCGATTAACAACGCAAGTTGTGGCGACAAATACGCTCTAGTGTTTCCAACATGGCGGCCGAATGCTTGGGCGGTGGCACAGGGCAGGAGAGCTTACACGGCGACTTCAATTCTTCATAGCACAGTCGAGATATTGACCCAAGACACCGAGAATAGATAGATGGTCGAAGAATCGGAAATGGAAAATTAATTTTGAAGGAATTAATGGCGTTGAACTGGTGGTGACTTCCGTTACACCATCAGCACCACGAGAGAGAGTCGGAACTCTTTGTGGAAGCAGCCAACCTACTGCTTTCAGCGACGACTAAAATGCATGCTGAGTTAGCATCCGAAAGCTCCAGCCATCAAAATAATGATGTTGATGCCTCTACAACAGGACACGTTCGTATCGCATGACGC